AACCTATTTTCTCCTGCATCTGCAGTTTGGTTCATTGCCTTGTACCTAACACACATATGGAATAAGTAAAGGAATGAATGAACTCAATTAATATTTTATAAACAAACAACAAAACAAGAAGGACACAGCCAGGACTTAAATTTATAAAGTGTATGAAGCACTACAAACATCTTCCTTTTTTGTCCCAAGGCACATACACTCAATAAGTACTTAACTATGTGCTCAATAAATAGTTGTTGATTTACACACTGAAGTTATAGAGCACACAGATGAAAATACTGCAAAAATTAAAAAATTGCAAAAATAAGACAACTGAGTATCGCCACAATTAAAGTATGCTCAAAATATAATAGCAGAATACAGATGGAAGATTTTGAAGCTGAAAATTGGACTCCATGCCAGCATTTCACAGAAGGAATTGACACCAAGATCATCTAAGACTTGTCCAAAAGCAAGTCAAAGAGGCTGGGCTGGTTTGGCTCAGTGGATAAAGCATCGACCCATGGACTCAAGGGTCTAGGGTTTGATTCTTGTCAAGGGCACATGCCTTGGTTGCAGGCTCCATCCTTGGCCCCAGCCAGGGCACATGTGGAAGGTAATCAATTAATGTGTCTCTCTCACATTGATGTTTCTCTCTCTATCTCACCAAAAAAAAAAATAATAATAATAATCAATGGGCAAGAGCAAGTCAGAGAGAGAACTCTGGTCAAGTGTCATGGGAAACATTGTTGTAGGGTTTGAATCAGTGGTCACCCTTGTTGATTGGCACTAGCAATAAATGAATAATCCAGGGTACTTGTAACTCAAGGAAAATCCCTTAGAAAAGGCCCAGAGTTCCCACATGCTCTCATATTCCTACTCAACCAGCTCCTCCCAGGACCAGGGCCCATCAGCTTCTTCAACAGGAACTTTGCTCATTTTAGGGCCAGACATTTTTGTCTCCTGGGTAAACAGTCTTGTTAGAGACCCCATTCATAATTTTTTTTTGGTTTTATTTTTTTTTAATTACCTAATTTTTTTAAATCACCATTTCTCCCCTCTATTCCCTCTCCCACCTCCACCACCTCCAACTCTTTTTATTGCGTGAAGTTTTATCAATCACTCTGATAGTTCTGAGTTCATCCTTTTGTCATTGGCAGTGTGATTTGGTTTGGAAGCAACACTAAAGTTTGCCTTGAATACTTGAAGGATCGCTTCTATCCTGTCCATCTTTCCTGCTGTGGTCCAGGGCTATTATCACTTCCATATGGGTGGTCCCTGTCCTCTGCTCCAGCAAGGCCTGTGCGGTTTCCTCAGTGCTCATGGTCTCTCACCATTCACGCTGCTTGTCTCCTATTCCAAACCTAAAGGCCCTCCTTGGACAACGTGGTGGTCGCCATGCAGTGCCTGCAGCGGGTGGGGAATGGTCTCCCAAGCACCCCCTTTTTCCTGTCCCTGAGCTTCATGGAAATGCATGTGTGATGGCTCAGAGGCCAGGCAATGGTGCCAGGAGAACAAGAACAGGTGGGAGGGCTTGCCCTAATGGGACAGTCTGCTTATGGCTGACAAAGTCTGCCCTGGGCTGCACACTTGTTTCTAGTCTAAAGTACCTGGGTGCTGACACCTAAGGGTATAAAATATCCTTGGTTCTACCTTCTACTTGCCATGGAGATAAACCCACACTTATCCTGAGAAACAACCTCCTAAATTTCTGTATAATAAAATGCTCCAGGAATAAAACAGACATTTCAAAGATCAGTTTCCCTTCCTACAGCTATCAAGCTAGTGTGTGTGTGTGTGTGTGTGTGTGTGTGTGTGTGTGTGTGTGTTTCCAGTCTGGCTGACACTTCTCAGCTGGGGGAGGGGAGTAGTGGGGGGAGGGGAAGAAGGAATATTCTCTCTCTTTTTCCTAAAAAGTCCCTTGTGGTCACTGAACATTAGTGTCCCCTTCGTTTACATTTTCATTCACCTTTTCTTTTAAATTCCTTCTGTTCATTCTAATTATTTATAGGTCTCAGGGTACCAAACTTCTCTTCTGAGCATCTCAGAAGAACTATCTCTGACCAAGCTTTGGCCAATGCTACTGTTCATTAGGTTGAACGGTAGAAAACAATGCAAGACCAGCGTAAAGAAGTTCACATTATGTTTCGGAGCAGAAAACCCTATTTCCAAGTGCTATACACAGCAGACTCTCTTCGATGGACACGCAAAAGAGAGTCCTGCTCTTGAAATGCAAATCAAAACTGAGGAACAATAGAAGCCGGAGCACAAAGGGACTTTGGGGTGACCTGTAAGGCGAGTCACTGCCTGGCCGCCTGCTTTGCAAGGAGAGTCACTGAGGAAAAAGCGACCAGCGCATAGAATTATCCGAACAGAATTATCGAGGCTGTGAAAGTACTTAGCAAACGCACCACTAGATCTCTGCCCCATTAAAAAAGATCATTTGGGAACAAGGTATTAAAATGCTTTAACGGTTTCCCAAACTTGTGGATGGGATATTAAGGGTAAGGGGGCTTAAAGAAAACAAAAGTCCTTGATTGAATAAACTGCAAATTTAATTCAACACTGTCCCTTTAACTTACCAGAGATGGCCTTGAGGTTTAAAAAATTTTTAAATTTGTATACGTGTTATGGGAATGTGATTATCCATCTCTACATCATGTAAATCTCAGCCAGATACGTTGTCACAGTATCTCCTCTCACTCAGGACCCTGCCATCGCACCCGTTCTGCTTGGTTTCCGATTTCACTGCACTGGGATTATATCAGTGCACTCGCACTGCATGGTTAGGACTGCTTTAAACTCTGGAATTACAAACCTCAACCGAGGGCTGTGCATTGTACTCACTGTCGTCATCACTGCCATTAGCATGTTTTTCAATCCTTGCAGAACAGTGGGGTAAAAAGGTCTTGTGAATAAGTCCCACTGTAACATGTCTCCTATTGATTATCGGCAGCAATTATAGACATCCTGGGCTCCAAAACAAGATATAGAACCTGGGGAAGTGCTCAGGTTTTGTGGTTCTAAAGGAATATTGGGGGGGGGGGAGGGAAGATTATTTAAATCTGTGGATTAAAGAGCTAGCGTAAACTTTAAAAAGTATTTACTTGCAGGCTGAATTTTATAAATGGATGAAGATCTAGTCTATTGAGGAGAAAGAATCTATTCTGAGTTTTATTGCTTTCTACAGAGTGACATTAAAATATTTTATGGAGATGTTCTGAAGCCTAATTGGATGGCTTCTGTTCTGTGTCTCCCTGTGCACTCAGCTCCCTCCTTCCCATTCTTTTTCAGCATCAAGAGGCGGTAGGCCCACTTAAAGTGGACGTCAAGTGTTTGTCACCCAAGCAGCTCACCCTGAGAAGACTTTGGTCACATATTTTCCAGTTCTAAATACACACCAAGCAAGCCTTTCACAGTTAAAAACAAAACGTCTCATGTGGTTTCTCTTTTAACATAAAGGTGTCTGTAACCCCCATACTAACAAGCTCCTTTGGGATAAGTCTTTGGGATGTGGAAACTCATGAGCCTCTGGGATAAGTCCTACTAGTTTGCTGGCACCACAGCTTGATTCACTCATTTCAATCCCGTTAGCCATTTTCATCAAGGTTCCTCATTAAGTCTCTTTAGACAACCCATATAGTTCGCTATTTTATAAACTACGAATCTGAGAGAAACTCTATATACCTCTAGGTACCTGTAACAAGTCCAGAAGTTCCAATCAAGTTGTTGTTTATAACGATCTTAAAACATATACACTCGGATTGTTATAATTTCCCGGCTATGCATTTCTGGATGTTAATAAATGAACCGAATAGTAGTAAGAAAAGGTCCCAGTGCCCCTTAACAACTACAATACCGCTCTGTAATTTGCTGAAAGCAAGTGGTATTCATTTACTCTTTTTCTTAAAGTTCATGATAAAAGCAAACAGGTAGATTTTTGTTAAGAATCTCCAGGGTGGTTGATCTAAAGGCTTTGAAACTTGATAAATGCATACGTCAGGCTAAAGAAATAAGCTTTTGAAACAAAATCCTGGGAAAAGCACACACTGAGAGCTCAGTCCTCCTGTTGGAGTATTTTCAGACAATAGTTAGTAAGGTTCGCAAGGAGACGGAAAAGAATGCTTATTGGCATCGTGACGCATGTATGAGGATGCACAGAAGCCAAGAGAATTTAGGAATAATGAATGAGTATCTCCCCCCCTTTCCTGGTCTCAGGTTAATAAATAGGGATATCTGGCTAACTGGTTCCACTCTGGGTGCTGCTGGTTTCTTTCTAGAAATGTTCTCCCTGCAGCTTTCCAAGAGTAGCTGTTACACCGTGTAGCAAATGATTAATTCCGTAACCCGGGATTTTGCATGCCTGCTTTGACGTAGGACGGGCTACAGTCTTGCAGTGGAAAAAAAAGTACAAAAGTCACCTTAGCGTCTTACAGTGCAACGGTTTTAATGGTACGAAAACAGGCAGGACAGTTTCGCAGGCCGAGGTTAAAAGCAACCTTGCCTTGCTTCACACGCTTCTACTTAGGTTTTCCTGCTCTCCTTGCGGTGTAGAACTGCAGAAGTATAATACTTCTAAAGTGCATTTCCCAGGCATTGAAAACAGCCCTGGTGGCTCTCCAACACCAAGCTCTTCCTTAGCGTGCGACCTCCCCACGGGGGTCTGCCCCATTCGAGGGGCGCTCCCCTCTCTTAGAGCCATGGTACCCCTCTCGCTCCCACAGGTGGCACAAGGGTGGAGGCCACAGAACGGCTCTTTGGAGATAATCATCAGGCCAACTTCCTGGGTGGCGGGCATCTTCTCTGACCACAAATAAATATTGAATTCAGCCTTGAGTCAGGAACTATGGAAAGCTCAATGGACACTTCCATTTCCCGGAGCGTGAAATCACGGAGGGGGGCCTTGTGCGGAGGTTCTGATTTGGTAGGATGGAGACACCAAGCTCAGAGGCAGGCCAGAAGTCTCGGGTTCGGGGCTGGGGGTTGGGGAGCCATGGTGGGAAGAGGGACCGTCCGTCCCGCTAAGGCTGGTCCTCCTGGGGGTCCGCAGGGAAGTCCGCCTCCTCCGGGGACCTGACCCCCTCGGGGAGCAGCGTGGCGCGGACTTTCCGCTTCTCCTTAAAGCGCCCGGAGCGCGAGATCTTCAGGTTGCGGCGGCTGCCGGGCTTGTCCGCGCCCAGCTTGTCCGGCCTGGGGGACTCGTCGGTGCTCTCCAGGAGGTTGGGGTGCTGGTTCTCCCGGGAGCCGCTAGTCCAGTCCGGGCTGGGCGGCGCGGGCTCCCCGGGGTCGGGCTGGGCGGCGGGCTGCACCCCCACCAGGGCCTCCTTGCTTTTCTTCCTGCTGTTCATGAGCGATTTCCACCAGGGCCCCGAGCCGCCCGTGCCGCCGCCGTCGGCCATGGCCGGCCGAGGGGTCCCGGCGCCTCGGCGGCGCCCTTTCCCGGTGGCCTCCGGCGTCCGCTCGGCTCCTGCTCCCGCTGCTCGCACCCGGGCTGCGGGGTGGGGTCAGAGGCCGCGGTCTGTGCTAGGGAAGAAAAAAACTTAGCTCCTGGGTTTGTCCAACGAGCCCCCTTGCCCCCCAATCTCATTTCCTCCCCTTTGCTCAGCGAGACACGGGGAGCGCCCCAACCCCAGAGATGCGCCTCCCGCAGAAGTCACCGCGGGGGCCGGGGCAGATGAGCGGCCTCCAGGGCGCCACCGTCTGGCCGCGGGGCTGAGGCTCGGCACTGCCCAGGCTCAGCCTTTGCCTTGCCTCCCAGCAGGAAGAGCAGGGGTCAGCGAGCCAGGGCCACTCAAAGGAGAGCCTGGCATCTGGGTTAACTGAGTCCCGGAGGGAAACGGCTTGTTCGTCCCTGGACCAGACTGCAGGCGGATGGATGCCCGCGGTGCCCTGACCCGGGCCAGAAAGGCCTTCCCGTGGGGGACGGGCGGGTAGCAATTGCGTCCCAGCTCTGGGTGAACACTGAATATACCCCTGTCACAGGCGGCTGCTTCACAGACTTCTGTCCCAGGACACCTTTCTTTCTTTTTTGTTAATCCTCACCATTTTAGAGAGTGGAAGCGGGAGACAGAGAGAAACACGCCGTGAGAGGGACATACGGATGGGATGGGTTGCCTCCCTCAGGCGCCCTGCCCAGGCGAGGGACTGAGCCTGCAACCGAGGTTCGAGGGCTTAGATCGGAATCGAACCCGGGACCCATCCGTTCTGGGGCCAACGCTCTACCCACTGAGCAAAAACGGCCAGCCTTCCCCCCCCCCCCCCCCCAATGCTTTTCAATGCGATTCTTCAGGGTCATTTACAGGCGAGGGACACGCTCCTGGTGTTTTCTTTTCCATTCTGCTTTTGCCAAAACTACTGCCTGGTGACTTTCGGAGAAGTATGATTCGACTTAACTTCCCTCGAAAACCACCAGCCTGCTCTCCATTCCCCAGAGACCAGCCTGGGCCTCTTTGAAGCCACCGGATGACAGCTGCGATGAAGCCCAGCGGTGGCGGCAGATGCCCCCCCCCCCTCAGTTCTGGATTAAAACATGACGGGGCGCAACTGCCTCCTGCAAGGAGGGGGCCACCGGGAGCTCCACACCGAGGTGCATCCTCCCGGCTTTAAGAAGTGCATTCTGGCCCTAACCGTTTTGGCTCAATGGATAGAGCTTCGGCCTGTGGACTGAAAGGTCCCAGGTTCGATTCCGGTCAAGGGCATGTACCTTGGTTGCGGGCACATCCCCAATAGCGGGTGTGCAGGAGGCAGCTGATCAATGTTTCTCTCCCATCGATTTTTCTCTCTATCCCTCTCCCTTCCTCTCTGTAAAAAAAAAAAAAAAAAAAAAAAATTATATATATATATATATATATATATATATATATATATATATATATATATATATATATATATGAAGCGCATTCTGCGGAGCGACTAGGGTGTGTGTTCCGCACAGAAGGTGCCAATAATTCCAGAAGCAATAGAGTTCTCTGCCCGCGGTCTGTGGGGAAAGGGGGATCTGCCGGGCATGAAACCCACGAATGCGCAGGGTTTGCCTGCGCCTTCGTTCATGGCCCCGTTTGCGCCGGGCTCCCCCCCAGCCCCCGCGCCCCGCGCCTCTGGGATTTGGGGTGTCTGGAGAAGGAACCGAAGCGCACCCGGCGGCAGGAGGTGGTCCTGCCGGAGCCTGGAACCCGGGACCGCGGGTCTGAGCGCCCACGCGGGACGGCGTGGCGGCCTCCGCGGGGCGCAGGGACGGCCGCCGGCTCCTCCCCGGGACGCCCGGGGGCACCCTCCTGCCGCGACTTGAAAACAATAGAAAAAAAATGGCCAAACGTTCTTTTCGTCCCCACACCCTCAGGCAGAGTTTGCAGTCGGGTGTGCAAACATCCTGCTCCCTCCGCTTGACAGATCGGAAAAGCGCCCGGGAGTTTTCCCCGGTGGCGGTGGTGGAGGCGGCGGTGGGGGTGTGTCCGGCGGCCCGCAGGTTCTCTTAAGGCGCCAGAGAAGCCCCCAGGGGACACCGGACCGGGCTCCGGACGCAGAACCAAGCCGATCGCTCACCTGCCCGGACCCCGCGGCTCCGCGGGGTGCGCTCGGGTCCGCCTGGAAGCCGAGCACAGCGTCCCTCCGTCCGCGCGGTCCCGGGGAGCCCGGCTTCTTTTTGGGGAGCTGTAGCGGCCGAAATCCCAGCGGCCCGGCTACGCGGACGGGTGGTGGTGGTGCCCCCTGGCACCTCCGACTTCTGCGGAGGGCCCCGCGGCCGGGGTGTGCCCGCCCGACGCCCCAGGTGAGCGCCGGGGCCGCGCTCCGGGGCCGCAGCCGCTCCTCCCGGGGGCGCCCCCTCCCCTGCCCGCGCCGCTCGGGAGCCGCCGGGAGAGGGGACCTCGCTGCTCGCTCGGAAGCTCTGGCCCTCCCCACGCGCCGGCCTCTCTCTCGGACGGACGCCTGCCCCCCTGCTGGTCCTCCGCCAGGTGACCCAGCAGCCTGCACCGGCGGCCGCGGGAAGAAGAAGAAAAAAAACAAACCCACAGCGCGGAGGCCGCCCGCCACAGGTGCAGGTGGCGCTTTGCATTTCCGCCCTCCGGGCACCGCATTGGCCCGGGCGCGGGCGTGGCGCCGGCCTGCGGGGTCTGATTGGACGGAGGCTGAGTGTGCGGGCGGCGCCGCGCCCACAAGGAGCAGGAGCCGCGGAGGAGACCGGAGGCCGGGAGGCTGAGGCTGCCGGTGGGCACGGGCGGATGGAAGTACCGCAGCTCTCCCTCCCCTCCCCTCTGATTTAGCTCCCCCATCCCTTCCTCTCAGGGCCCCCCACCAAGGCTGCTCAGCTCCGGCCGCAAGTTTTGTTAACTCCCAGGATTTGTTCCATTTCCAGGCACAATGTTGCAGCCTAAGGCGCCTTTAGCGGAAAGGCTGTACTATTAACAAGTTCGCAGGGTGCCCGCCGGGCGCTGTGCCGAACGCTCCTGTGGATTAGCTCGCTCATTACTCGCAGCGACCCTAGGAGACAAGTGACAGGCAAGGAGACCCTGCTCTGAAGGGTAAGGGTGGCCCAGAGTTGCAGGGCTGGCAGGAGGCAGGACCCCAGCTTGGGATTTGAAGCGAGGAGGTCTGACTCCAGCTCCCCGGGTCCTAACCAGCACGGGATCGAGCCCGCACCCTGCCTGCTTTGGGCCCCTAGAAGGCTGAGGCTGTGACTTCCAGCAGGTGTGGAAGCCCAGGGCACAGCCACCCGCTCAGGGAGCGCAGACCCAACCCAAAGCTGTTGCAGAAGCTGGCCAGTGAGTTATGTCAAGGTTCAGGGAGCTGTAGCGCCGATCACAAGCCCCTTTGTCATTGGACAGAAAGGTATAGGCGTAATTTCGCCACTGTAGGCAGACGTGCAGTCTCCATCTTCTAGGATGCTCTTCTTTTTCAAAGAACTACCGTAGTTTGATGTTCCCTGAGCTCACTTAGGATTCCTCTGAAGGCTGAGGATGAAGCAAGGGTCCTCTGAGCATCTCTGTTTTGGGGACTTTCTGAAGCACAGAAATACTGAAAGACACAGAACTAGCAGAAAGTAAGTTGGACAGGCCATTTCAGCGCCTAACATGGGATAAAAATAAAAATGCTTTATATCGTTAACGTCTTACTTTAGCATTCTTAGATTTTTAAAAGGTATGAGCAGCAGCATGTATCTGAAAGCGGTGCATTTTCATATAGTACTGGGATTCATTTTAGAGAGTAATGTTCCATGCCAGCACCACGACGGAACAAAGACAGACAGGCCACCAGCGGGGAGGGAAGGGCAGAGGACCCGCCAAGTCTCCATGGTGCCGCCTCACTGCAGAGGAAGACTCGGGCTGAGGAGAGAGACCCTGGTCAGAGGTATCCTCACCTTAGGAAGTCCTGGAGCTGGGCTGCTGCCTTGTTGATCCAACAGGTGAAAAAAGGAAGACATTTAGGAAAAAACAAAAACCACTTCTGCCACCTGGCTGGATCCTCAAGGCCGGCATTTCTTAATAAATGATCATCTACTGACTGATACAAAAATCTTTCTCTGCCACCCCTCCAATTTATATTGAACAATTCTGTTACTTCTGTTGTGTTTCGCTAACTTAATAACATCTCACAAACAACCCTTGCATGCAGTAAAATGTAAATGGAGACATGAGCGCCAAGGACAGAGTAGGCAGAGAGGACCAGGTGGGTAGGGAATGGGTGGGCATTGCAAACAGAAGGCATGGTGTGTGCAGAAGCTTCGAGGTGGAATGGGGAGGCATTTAGAATTTTGGGGGAGCAAAGAAAAGGCCAGTGTCATCTGAAGCACTGCAGGACATGAAGCTGGAAAGGGGGTTAGTGTTAGGCACATACTGTGTGTTCTGTTTCCGTTGATCCAGGAGCCTTACTGTTTGCTTCTGTAAAGAGGACCTGGGCTGGCCCCACACTTCCATGCTGTTAAGCTGGGCATCCTACAGTGTGGATGCCTTGAAAATTGATTCTTCTAACCAGTGAGTAGCAGGTGATGTTACATGTTACAGAATTTCAGTATGCTGAGACTGAGCAGTTATTCCTTCTTAATAATATTTCACCTTGCCATTTTTCATTTTTCAAAACAAATGTATAGATAGTTTGAGTGAGATGCTGTACTTATTTTTCTTTCTTTTTAAAAATTAAATTTCTCAGGTGAACCTTCAAGTGCAATAAATGATTATACTCCAAGACACTAGAGAATGAATTTCTAGAGAGCAGGATTTGCATACTAGAAATTAAAACCAGAACATGAGAGGTTAAATTTGGCATTTGCAACCCTCACACAGCCAGGATTGATATTTGGGGGACAATACTTTTACTCTTTTTTTGCCCCTATTTCCACATTTACTCCTTTCATTCTTACTCTCTTCTTCCCTTTCCTTTCCTTTCCTTTCCTTTCCTTTCCTTT